TACTTTGTGGGGTCAGAGTCCAAAAGATAGAATACACCCACTCCTAATTTAGCAACTACCTCAGTTAGCAACTATTCACAAATACAACAGTAATAAAAAAATTATTTTCCAACCAATGCATGCATTTATGACCAAATTTTTATGCGCCTGACAACACAAGCCTTCAGTGTGAAACTGATTAAGGTCTAGGCAGTTTCAGGCAGCATCATAACCAAGGGGAGGGTTCTAGTCAACTAATTAAGGTTATAGAACTGAGCTTGTTAACTTGTGGTTAACACTTTTTAGGGAAGCACTGTGGAGAAAAGCAGCTCAAAAAGAGATAGCTTGCTTAAGCAATCTCTCCATTCTGCAAGGGAGCAAAAAAAGGAACAAAAACAGATCAGGCACAGGACACTGTACAGGAGAACTTTATCTGAATGAGACACCAGCAACCAGCAATCTTTACAGTCTCTCTCTCTCTCAGTCATGTGTTTGCTTGGCGACCATTTTGCTTAATGACAAAGTTGCTGGAATGGATTGTGGTCACTAAACAAGGAGGGGGTGTATAATAATCTGAAAGTAAGAGATTATCTATCTATCTATCTATCTATCTATCTATCTATCTATCTATCTATCTATCTATCTCATATTTTACAGGTATTTCAAATTTAGAAATATTTTGTACAGTTTAGCAATACAGACAGTTGAGATACCCCTGTAAATAAATGTCGTCAGCATAGCACCCAATACACTTGCAAAGATTTTTCTCTGCCAAAATTGACCTTTTTTACATTGTTTATTTTAAAAAAAGAAAGAAAATGAAAAGCTAGCTCGCTGCAAAACTTTTTTAATTACAAGAATATCTCTGGGTTCCAAATGGACCTCTTCAGTTTCCTTAGAAAATAGAAAGGAAGAAAGGAAAGACATTTGAAGTCCAGTACTTTGTTCAGTTGTTCCCTACACAGAAAAGGAGAATAAACGGAGGTAGTAGGGACCCTCCTACAGAAAGGAGCATAGAGGGGACAGACAGCATTCCAGGAAGCTGCTCTCTTAGTTGGTTACAGTCCCCACTGCAACCTCCTAGCAACTATTTTGTCACCCTACTTCTAATGGTAACCATTTTGCTTGAGAACTTGCAGCATGTTCTTAAAATTCCAAGTTCAGGAAACTCTGCTGAAAGGTATTACTTCTTTCTCTTTCTCTCCTCGTCTCTCAATCTCTAACAGACTTTTACATTAATCTTCTAAATCACAGAGCACTATATTTTACCTGAAACCGCACCATTCTATGTTTACTGCACTGGAGTTATAATATCTTAAAGTTGGAAAGTGTTAATAGAAGACAACCACTAGTCTATATGAAAGGCTACTGCATTCTACTGTAATCAATTTCATGTATAACTATGAGCAAATCACTATATACATGTAACAAAGGAAACATGTTTTCATCAACCAATCCAATAAAACACCAATGTCTTAGAGTTTGCCAATACTGAGAATTGCTTACATTCAAAGGAAATAGATGAGGTGTTAAAGGTAGGTAGTCCTCTACTTATGACCATTCGTTTAGCAACTGTTCAAAGTTACGATGGTGCCAAAAAAAGTGACTTATGACTGGTCCTTGCACTTACAACCATCGGAGTGTCCCCGCAGTCACGTAATCAAAATTTGGGCGCTTGGTAACTGGCATGTATTTACGAGGTTACAGCATCCCAGGATCACATGATCGCCATTTGCAACCTTTCCAGCTGGCTTCCAACAAGCAAAATCAATGGGGAACTGCATGATTCACTTAATTGCAAAAAATGTCATAAAATCAGGTGTGGTCATGTGACACCTCAATTAATGACTGCACTGCTTAATGATGAATTTTCTGGTTCGTACTGTGATCATAAGTCGAGGACTATCTGTACAATGTAACAAGTGCTAATGATAATATATCTGATTCCCTCCTGAAGAAATATGGTTAGTCTTTTTCTTTAGAGCTCAGCATAAACCTTGTCAACATTAAACAAGATATGAAAAAAAAAAAGCATTTTAAAATGGAAGAAAATAGACACTGAAGTTTCTTCAATAAACTTCTCAAGAAATTATCATGTTTAGTTTTTCTTTTTGTCAGTTTCCTTCATCAGTTTTATAACTAAAATAAAGTGCACTCAAAAGTTCAATCAAATCACATACCCATCCTGATTACAGTAATTCAGGTACAGTGCATATTTAATAAAATTTCACAGAATCATAGAATGTAAGGGCTGGAAGGGACCATCAAGATGATTTAGTCCAAACAATGCTCAGTTCAGGAATCCACTACTATAGCATCTCTGAAAGATGGCCATTCAGATTCTGTTTAAAAATCACTTGTAAAGGAGATTCCATCAGTTTGTTCCAAAATGTTAACTATGGAAATACCAACTAAAAGGACAAAAATTAGAATAATAAATTCATTCTTATTTATTTAGAAACATTATTTAGAAAACGTATATAGACACCAATCTTAAATACATAATTCCGGGCAGTAAACAATCCATACAAAAACAATATATCTCTCCCCTCCAACCAACTAATATAATTCAATACAAAAAAAGAAAACCAAGGCATTATATATCAATTTTACAAAAACACACATGTATAGTGGCCTCTCCTGACATCTTGGCCCAAATACCTGGGGAAAAAGCCAGGTTTTAACAGCCTTCTGGAAAGAGAGTTGGGGCCATCTAAATTTCAGGGAGGAGACTGTTTCATAGGGCAGTTACTGTGGCAGTGAAGGCACATCTCCTTGGTCCTGCAAGATGACACCGTTTAATAGAGGGACCTAGAGTATCCCAACCCTGATAGAATGGGCAGAACCCTTAGAGACAGACAGTCTTACATGCTATATGGCCCCATTTCATGTAGGACTTTAAAGATGGAAACAGCACCTTGGACTGCATTCAGAAGCATGATGTAAGCCAATGGCATTAGCAGTGGTGTTACATGAATGAACATTGAAGCACCCAAAACTGCACATGCCACTGCATTCTGCACCAGTTGAAGTTCCCAAGTGTTCTTCGAGGGCAGCCCATGTATAGTAATGGCTGGCTGGGGACTTCTGGTAGTTGAAGTCCACACATCTTAAAGTCATCAAGGTTGAGAAACAGTGAACTAAGGCATGACTGACAGTGAGCAGGGCCTTCTAGTCCAGGAACAGGCACAACTGGCACATAAGATGAATCTGTGCAAAGGCCCCCCCGGCCTTGGCTACCCCCTGTTCAAGCAGGAACTCTGAATCGAGAAGAATCCTCAGATTATGCAACAACTCTGGGGGAGTGTTAACCCATGTTAAAGTTAAT